CCGCGGCCGGGAGGACCGCTCTGAGGAGCGGTGAGTCACGTGAGGTGTCCGGGATCCAGACATCTCAAGAGTCTCAATTCGTGTCAACTATAAAACATATATAATATATATATATATATATTTATACGGTACTATATGCGCTATATATATATGTACACAGTATATATATATATATATATTTATTTTTAGGTCGTATACTGTATATTCAACATATTCTATGATATTCTAATTATGATTTACATCACACACTGTTTTAGAGACACTGTTGAGATGTCACACGGCTTCAATCTTCCGGAAGTTCAATTCCAGCGGAGTAAGTATTGAAGCAACATCCACCTTGACTGCGATCTGTGATCACAGCATAAATATCGGCCAACAAATGAGTTCAGATCCTAACACCTATGCTTTGCTCCCTCTTCAGTCGCCCATGCTTGACCCTCACTGCAGTTCACTGAAGGAGACCAAGACCCTCAAATACTTCAGGTCTAACTTGGCATTCCTGAGGTCCCTTTGAAGTAGGTGCAAGTATGGAGACGGCCTTGGCAGTTTGCAGCCGTGAATAGGGCTTCGTTTCTTGGCGGGCCACTTATTGGCCTGAAAACATGGCGATCACGACCTTGTGGCTACCCACTTCTTGCACCATGTTCCCATATAGGCTTGGGTGGTACAACACTGCCGAGGCGGAACATTATCCATTGGACTTGCTAAGACTGCTAAGATGGACAGTGCAGCTGAGAAGGAGGTAAGGTGTCATGCATTGTGCAAATGAGGACGATAAATGCCAAAAACCGTTTGACAGACGATAATTCATAGCAGTTAACCTCGGTGAAACGAACACAGACAGACGTTGGATGCATACAGTCCCAATCAGGCCAGGCCCATTGACAGTTAGTCAGTCAGCAGGATGGGCAAATCAGATTCAATCCGGTGCCATCGTCTCCGGCCATTTCCTTGTGCCTCAGGGACTGCGCGCCTCAGTTTGTTCAGCAGCCATTCCCAAAATCGTCTTGAATCATTTGCCGGTTTTCTGCAGTTGATCAGCCTGTGGGCATGTTCTTGGATTCTTGGAGGATGTTCTTGGTGGGGGAGGTGAGGGACAATTTTCCCCAGTGACTCACTGTGAAGGTTGGCGACCAAAAAGCATGGAACCCGTCTCACCCTAAGCCGTTAAGGGCGGGCCGTTCGCCTCCACGCTGCGCTTTAAAACCCGCAGGAGAGGCGGGACCGGAAGGAGAGTGGCCGAAGAGATCGCAAGGAGCTGCGGATGAGCAGTGGTGCGAAACGGACCCAAGAGGGAGAAGTGAAGAATGAGCGTGGTGGCACCCTAAAAGGAGAGGATAAAAGCAGAACTTTGATATCGTTTCATGTGATATGGTGATATGGATGGTATTGTAGTGTTGAGTGTTGTTCTGCAGGGTCAACAGGTGGCTGTCTACGTTCAAAAGCGTGCAAACACAAGAGGTAGGTCAAAATCGAAACACGTTGCAAGCAACAAAACTTGTCGGGTTTGGTTGAAATAGCTAATATTGCCCCTTCATGCTATTTCATGCTATATTGCTATGACAGGTGACTGGTTTTGATCCACCATACTACCAATGATCCCGCCATCGGCACACTCCAACCCACATCAAAAAGATCAACATAGATCAACCCAGACACTCCATGGGACTGCCATATATGCCGCCCCATTGACCCCTCATGGCCCACCCCTGGCCTGATCAGCAGTCCTATGGCAGTCCCAGACAGGTCGTGTCTGGGCAACCTTCCAGTCCAAGGCTCGAACGGAAAGCCACCGAGCACCCCCTCCAGTGTTTGGCTCCCGAAGCGGTGCACGGTGCAGAGTCTCCGGAACGCTGTTCCTGCAGGACGACCGCCGTGGCACCTCGCGCCGGCGACATGACCGCTCGGAGGATGGGTGGGCATGGGTGGGCCCGCACTCCAGGTGAACGTTCTCCTTGAACTGTTAAACCTGCCAAGAGAGGTTGAGAGACCTGAACTAGGACCCTGTAGCGGTACATATGGGATGGACGACAAAGGGCTGTTCAACCTGTTTTGGTCTCTTGAACATGTTGCTATTTTTAACATGTCCCTATATATGTATATACAAACCTCTAGTCACACCTAAGCGGGAAGGAGATGCTGTGAGACGGGTTGTGGAACCAGCATCACCAGCAGTTTCTGTCAGCTGGATGATAACTGATAGCCGTTCAGAACCCCGGATAGAGCCCGAGGTCGATGATGCAGGGTCCCGTGACTTTAGAATTCGAGAATTGGGGTGTTTTATGATTTGATGTGCTTTTCTATGCTTTTCTTGTTCAATCCTGTTACTGTGGAATCAGTATAAGCTGCATGTTGGGGGGTGGGGAGTAGCAAAAGGAGGAATACTGATTATAGTATGGTGCAGAAAATGGAAGAAATGCTCTCGAATAAAAGGGGTGTGTATTCTATTTGCACGGCTGCGGGTGTAAATAGAATATATGTATTGTTGAATACGTTTTTTACACATGTTTATTGCGTGTGTGCTGCAGTATGTTCTATTTGGAGCTGACGGGGATGAATTGGAAAAAAGGTGTATTACGTAGTAAACTCAGCGACTCAGGATCTAAATGAAATCAAAAGGACATCAAAAGGAAGTCAAAAGGACATCCAAAGGGACCGAACGGATATCAAAAGGAACCAAAAGGAAATTGAAAGGAACCAAAAGGACATCAAAGCCATCAAAAGGAATCAAAACAAATTCAAAGGATGCTGGACATTTGCTGGAAAGTGAGCATCCACTCCTTTGTTCCTATTAATATCTATTACTTAATTTGTGATTTTTCACCAGATAGCTGCAAGCTATAGGGGTTCTTACTTCTCAATAGATGGGTTCCGGATTGCAGAAATTGGCTGCCGCTGCCGCCTTGTTTCCCAAGCTTGTCTCCCTTCATGATTTCGCTCTGGCTGCCGCTGCCGCCGTGTTTCCCAAGCTTGTCTTTGTTCCTGATTTCACTCTTGGCCGCCTTGTTATTTTCTGGCCTGCCTTTGACGCGGATGTTGTTATAAAATGATTTAGGTCTTGTTTACCTTTTCCATCCTTTTCCCGGCCTTGAGTGGGATGTCTCCCAAGCTTGTCTCCCGCTTTTGCCATGGTGTCCAACTTCTCTTGAAGTGCTATCTGGGGTCTATGCCGGTATAATTTTGTCTTCTACCTGCAACAAGCTGAAATGATCTTCTATTTGGAACCTTCCAATTTATAGGAAAAAATGATGTGTTCTTTTTACAAATTATCGTCTATTTTAGTGCACTATACTTTGCATCGATCTAATTACTTGACTTGCAAAAGACCTGATGCCGATTTCGGCAAAGGAACACGACTCATTTGAGCATTAAAGAAAACATAGGCCACGCCACGTGTTTTGCCACTTAGAACAAAGCTAAAAGAAGGGGTGTGGGTCCCTTCATTAAGACCAACGCACCAGTCACACTAAACCCCTTTGCCCCCCGGAACTCTTCCACGTCGACACCTCGAGGAGGACCGGCGGCGTGGAGGCTCCCGCCGGCGCCGTGACGATCGCTTCGAGGACCGGGAGAGTGAGTGAACCGCGGCAGCTGACCTTGTCCGAAGCATCACTTCGACGAGGTGAGCTTTTGGGGCCGGGAACCCCATGTCTCATGGCACCTCGCGACCAGGGAGTCTGTGGAACCCAACCCGCTGAAGCCTCCAGGACCGGCGCCACCGCGACGATCGAGGGCGGGGCCGACGAGACGACCGCTACGAGGCGCGTGAGACGGAGACGGAGCACGGGAGGAAGAGGCAGTGGGGTGTGACTCACGGGGGTTTTGGAAGACAACCTGCCTCCAACAAGAACGGATCAAAATATAGTGTTATAATATATATATACCATCAATTATCTCCTGGAGAGGGCGATGGAGAGAGAGATAATATTATCCAATATTAGGATGCGGCAACCTGGACTTCATGCAATCCAACAAGATCGGGAGAGAGCATACAAACATTCAGCCAAAATTTCAAACAATCATTTTTGTCGCCTCGGCTTTCGGCTAATCTCATGGAGAGGGCGATGGATAGGGAGAGAGAGAGAGAGAGAGGGAGAGAAATGACAAAATGCATCCAAATTATGATGAAGCATGTAGGGAGCCAAAGAGGCGGAAGTTCTCCAACCATTGGCCTTTAGCACCTGTGGAATAGTTGAACAGTTACACTCACATTGACCCCATTGATGACCCCAATGTCAAGGGTCCTCTCATCGTGGTTTGACTCAACTTTGCTTTTCCTCTAGAAATATAAGGTAGCTCTTCCAGTCCCATTGGATGCTCTGACTCTGGTTTGTATCCCGTTTGCTTCGACAGGATCGCCGGGACAGAGATCGAAACCAACGCAAGGACCGTCCCGAGCGAAGGGAACGGCGGATGCGCCGCCAAAATGGCGGACAAAGGCCAAGGACGAAGCCTAGGAATAGGACCTTTTTTCACTGCTTAAGGGTGCTTTTCTGGAAGGGAACATGTGACATCATGTGACATCATAACATGCTATGACACAGATCCCGCTGTGTATGATTAGTTGGAAGGAGTACAAATCGTTTGTTGAGTACATAGATCTACTCTGCAAATGGTTGGATGATAAGGCCACCATCACGTCAGCAAATTCCGGCTATTGCCTGCTACTTGATATAGGATCGAAAGAACATGTGTTGGTCTATTTGCTTGGCACAATTCGCTTTGGCTGGAAAGCGTGGCCAGTACAGCTTCGAAGGCCTATCTTGTGTGACGGAGCGATCATGAAGAAAGGTAGACATGTTCCACATATCCATGATCAGCATTCATCAACTAGATAAAAGACTAAGGGACGGGGGACCAAGCTTCAATGCCAGACCACTCTCCCAGCAGCTCAAGTGCATCAGGTATGTGATCATATCGAGTTATACGTGTCCACCGGAGGCTGGAGCCTTCATTCACGCCCTGCGCTCGTGGACGTACCCGACCGGTGCCGTTTTCCCATGTCGGAACTCTTGGATGCCTTCGACGATGCGGGGGTGGACGTGGAGACGAAGCAGTTCCTGATTGAGGCCTTACACCATGCGGAGGAGGCGCAATGGTCCGACGTGCTGGAGCCGTTTGTGAACTTGGGGAGTGCTCAGCCAGGAGTTCCATGCTTGGGTGGTTGGAGAATGTTGGAGAAGTGGGGGTTCATTCCAAGCGTTCGGGTCTAAAGACCACCCCGGCAAGGAACTGTTGGATCAGGAGACTTTTGTCAGTTGCGTAGCTTGCCAACCTGCTCTCTGAAGACTTCAACGAATCCTGGGCCTTACGACCCAGCCACAGGTCGTGAGACGCTGCCATTTTGATGTGGATGAAACCTTTTCCGTGGCCCTGCGGCCCTATGATGAGTTGGTCTCCGGTCCATGTTCCTTCTTGTATCTTCTTGTTTTATTCTATTCTTCTAAACCCCGACCCGGAGAGACATGGACCCCAAATTCCACCACCCTCAAGGAAAGCGGCAAATGTCGGACGGTCAATGAAGTGTTGGGAAATGTTTGGACATTTCAGGAAGGTTTCTGCCCCAACTCCATATATAGCTCAATGACTCGACGTGACATCGAACGGGCTTGGACCGGCTCCGCATGGGCGAATGTGAGGAATGGCAGCTTGGAGGCCTGTTTGGCCGCTCTCACCAAGCCACAAGTCTTGTTGAAGAGTGCCAAGGCGCTGGAGAAAGAGATGAAGCAAGCAGAGAAGTCGGAGACTTGGGATGGTTTCGCTTGAAATGCAGTTTTTACAATTTTACGGGCCCCCACCCGCAGGCTTCATCATGTTCTATTCTTGCACTTGGCTTGGTGTTGGCTTGCCTGTTCTGAGACAAAGTCATGACTCCGGAAAGCTGGCTTGTTGTGAAGGATGACTTCCAATAGTGGTTTGTGCTCAATGAGTTTCGGAGTTTTCTCCGCTATGCTACACTCCTTTTTCCAAGGCTGTTTCCCGACTACTCACCATCCTCGTCCTCATCCTCATGATTGTCTTTTTAAACTAGGTTAGGTTCCCTACAGGGTTCATCCTTCCCACCAGCAGCTAAGGAGAAGATCTCCCCCATCGCTTTGGCGTTTTTGCAGCTCCTCCATCCAGTGCTGGGCGCCTCCGGGTTGCACACCGTGGCCCGCTGTGCCGCGGTGTGCCGCAACGCAAAGGAGGCCGTGCTGAAGGCCGACGTGTGGGACAGCCACGTGCTGCGGGCACGCAGGTGGTCACTTGACACTGGCATTGGGAGCCGGGTGGCAGTGGTGCTGGCGACGGTGGTGAAGTTCGGGGACGTCTTTTGGATCACTGAAGATTCACTGAGAGGTGGTGTGTTCATTGCTTCTTCGATGGTTGCTCAGACATGACCCATTGGGCTCATTGCGCTGAAATCTTCCCTCGACATGGTGAGGATCTTCCCTCGACATGGTGAAATCTTGCAAAGCATAGCCATTGGACCAGATTAGTAAAGTGGGTCCTGTTGATTGACAACATCTAGCAGCTAGCATAGCTAGCAAAACTAAAATCCATGGCCATTCATGGTCCAGTGGCATGAACCTGGTGACTATAGACCATGCCTGAGACCAGGGGTTTGTTGTGCAGAATTGGGCGAATCAAAGGTGGGCACTGCCACCAGTCCCGCAGCGGCTTCAGCCGAAGCAGCCCAACCCGGCGGGGTGGCGGCCATTTCTATCCACGTTGAGACCGCGGTGCGATGGGATCTACGTCGCTTGGAGTCCGCCATGAGGGATTTGCACCATTGTGGCAAACATGAGAGCAATAGAACATAATAGGAGATAATAGGAGATCATGGGAGAATCAAATTTATGAAACACTCACAAAGAGTGAGATCAAAAACAACACCCGCCTGGTTTGAGGTCCAAACATGCCTGGTTGAGGTCACAAACAGGGAGTTCAAAGCTCGGTCACGAACTGAAGAAGCTGGTGCAAATCGAGGTGAGACCTATAGAATACATAAGGCCTGAGCCAACAAGTGTTGCATTTTGTGTTGTTTTTTACACGCTAGATCTTCCTCGTTTGTTGCCGTCTATGATTCTTTATATATTTACGGGGCCGGCGGGCAGGAGGAAACTCATGGTAGCTTATTTGCAAGCTTCCGCTCAAATCCTGCGCAAGCAACAAGGACGTGGACCCCTGCATGTCTTGCTTGACATGGATGGCCCCCCATCCCAACGGTTCTGCCAGCCGAGGTGGGCGAATGTGGCTTTCAGCGTTGGCTGCGCGTGGGACACCACAGCGACCTCCGGAAGAACAGCGCCCAGCTGGCCGCCTATGGCGGCCGAGGAGGACAGGCTGAATGGGTGAGCTATCGGAGGCCAGGAGACCGGCGCCTTGTGGTTCGAACAGTCCTCAAAAGAGGTTTACCAAGATCGTAAGAGTAACAAACATTGACTGATTTCTGGCCGTTCACAGACTTACGAGGCATCAGGCGTGGTTCCATGTTTTTTTAGAGTTTTTGGTGCACGTTCTGCAGCCAATCCTTCGCCAGGTACGTGCGGCTGATGCCTCCAGATGGGGAGGGCCGACAGTATCCCATCTGTTTTGCGTGCCAACTTCCAAAGACTTCACAAAGGGATGCCTAGTGCTGCTAGAAGACATGAAGCAATCCACATTTGCACCCCCATTGGAGGTTTTTGGACGTGATTTCTTGATATTGGGGTCCCTGCAAGGTCCCACATAAAATGAGAACACATGAGAACCAAACGGGAGTCACTGGCAGCGATACAAGATCTTTTGAAGAAGATGTGGCATCCCACGCGCCCAAGGTATGCCATGGTGCTTCAAGATCCTTGTCCAAGAGAAGCTGCAGAGCAAGTCTTGGTGGATGGGGTGGATTTCACCACCCATTGCAACCCTGTGAAGTCAGAGGGACTTCCAGACACTCAGGCACCGAATCTGCGATTATTTATGCTGGTTCTTTTAATGTTAACGTTTTGGGAAAACAAGGCAAAGCAGATGGTGTTTTTTGTATTAGAAGTTCTTTTGTTCGGAATTCGCTCGGGGTGTCGCTTTTTCAAGCATGTTTCGAATTATAAGTATGCAAATTATACAGCTGCTTCCAGAAAAACAACAGTGTTTCTTTTATGAAACGGCACTTTCGATATATATATATATATATTCTATGTGTTTGAGCCTTGCCTGTGGTGACAGAACACGTGTGACCCTCGCGAAACGGGTTTGGCAGCGGGTTTCGGAGTGCTGCTTGCTGAATGGAGGATCGAAACATTTAGAAACGACACATGTTCTCGAAACAGCAAATCTTCCAGGGAACTACCAGTACATGGGATATTGTGCCAAACACTGCGGTCCTTTCGATGTCTCAAACAGGAACGGTCCCGTGGCGGCCACCTCCCTCGCAGGTGGCTCATGTGTGTGATGCTGAACGGCTCCGAAAACGTTTGTGCGTGGGTCAGTACAGTTTGGACCTGGAGAACCGCCTCATTCGCGTGAGCTACACCGCCGTGGACGGCACCTATCGACTGTGCTTTTCACTGAAGCACTGGATCTTCTCAGACTGTCTCACTTGGGAAGCCCAGCTGAACAAAATCGCCTCCCCACCGCCCAAGAATGAGACACGGAGATGTACATGAGCTAGTATGTACATGCTGAAGTGCAGGGATGTCAACCATTTCTCCCACTTAACGTTTGACCCTTTGACCTACGCCCCATAACCCTTTTCAACTTCCAAGGACGATTGTGGCCCTTCCCGGAAACAGAACCGACCTTGGGTTAATGTTCGTTTTAGGACGTATTAGGTAGGTAAGTCATGGCAAGCCAAATTTCAATATATGGTAAAATTCAAGTTTGCCAGCAATCCAGATCTAATTAGATTTAACATTCTTTAACTCTATTATGCACAAAAAATCTACTGCAACAATAATATAGCGTATTTATTCAGGCTATTCTGCATGGTGTCCCTCAAGGTCCTTCTACTTATTGAGCACGACAGGACTTTTGAGAGACCTACACAAGGGATTCAACATGTGTGCTTGGTGTTTTTGAATGACATGTTTGAACGCAGGCCGTTTTGGATGGTTGGATGTGGTGCCTTCTGCCAATCCGAGGAGCAATACGAGATGGAGAGTCAGACAGGAGAGGTGGTCCCATTTAATCTTGGGCGCCTTCCAGATTGGAAGGGCGGAGGTGACTTGTCATGAGCACCGAGTAGTTTTTGTTCTGCTTTGATTGTGTTGTTTGCCAATATCAGCGAATGCCCTTGGTTTCCGATGTATGTTGTGGGAATGCCCTTTGCTTTGTTTTGTCCAGCTTGCAGGTCTGGAAGATGAGGGGAAAGATCATTTTCCTTCCATGAATTTTCGGCCGAAGACTTCTCTTGAGCATTTGGCCTAACTGACCGTCAGACTGCCGCAAGACTGTGCAGCGACCGACATGGTGGAAAAAGTGCAGGTGGTGGGCGGAGGCAAAGTTGAATCATGCTGTGGCTTGCTCAGCTGTCCCAAGCGTTGGTCGGAGTTCGATGGGCACACTTGGGTCGCTCCACGAAGCGACCGGGATTGGACCTGGACTGGTGAAAAACAACACCACTCGAGACTCAAATCCCAAAGTGATTTACAATATATATAATATTTATACAGTATACACACTGTATACTACTCGTACAGGACATTGGGAGTGGCAGTCTCGGTGGTGCTATGCAATTTTCAAGAACTCAGATCGATCTCTGAAATGCATCAACCTCGTGCATGTTCATAGATCGCGGGTGCCAGTCGTTCAAACTTGCCACCATTCATTTTTTGACCTGGATCGTCTGGGTGTGCAGTTATTTTTTGTTCATGGAGGCAAGATGGAGTCTAGAGAGCTTTGACCCACCATGGAGTCGGGTGGCTCATGGTCCCCTTCGACTCAGGGTGGCTCCGTCGCCCTCCGCGTCGTCAGGACGATCGAGGTCGTGGTGGCTCTCGACGCCGGCGCGAGGATCGCTCTGAGGAGAAGGCGTGAGGAACGGGGAGTTCCTTCACACGGTTCAGGATGCCATCTGGTTTGTTTAGCAGGAACCAGGACGCTACTTGTGGCTCCTGGCCGAAAACTTCTGGCATCGCTACGCCCCGGGGCAAGGATGCCAAACAGGGGCGCTCCTACACCAAACAGGGGAGTTTGAGCGCTTTGTCCGGACCCCACGTCACCCAACCTCCCTGCTCACCCGAAGAACACGCACTCCTCGCAGGATCGTCGCGAGCGCAAGGACAGCGGGAGCCCCCCCACGCAAGGACCGGGTCGATTTGGGCCGGCTGATTGAACTAGCCCGCTCCAGGGACGAGACCTCCTAAGTCTGGAGTTGAGACGAAGTGTGAGAGTGCTGTGCTGGAAACAGATAGGAACTGGTTTCATGTGGTTTGACTGTTCATGACTTTTGCCATACTTTTCTTCCTGTTGAAGCCCAGATGCGCATACCAGAATACCAGGAGAAATACGAGAAATAGGTCAAGCACTTTAGGAGAACAGGATTGAACGGTGTTTGTCGGCCTACCCTCATTTGGAGAAAAATCCGGAATATTCATGCGAAACGATTTGAAATTACAGTGACAGTTATAGTGACATTAACTCGTGATTGCTATATGGGTGTTGTGTATTTTAATTGGGGAGCCTCCAACCAAAGGGTTTTTTGGTCTAGTTTCTTTCTTCCATGGGCCATGGGGTCTTTGAGAGGCCCCCCCTATCCCAGACACGACTAATGGGACTGCCACATGCCGAGAAACGGCCAGGGGTGGACCTGGGGGGTCAATGGGGCGGCAGTCCTATGGAGTGTCTGGGTATTTTAATACATACACTATATATTCCCGGTGATGGTCCACCTGTTCGAAGTCTATTTCATCTGCTGAGTCTTTTCTCAACTCCCAGCTGCGCAGCCAAGCGAAAAAATATCCACCAGGACCGGCGGCGCGAGGACCGGGAGGAGCACTTCGGTTCGGCCGTGGGCGTTGGAAGCTGTTTCGAAGGTGGGCAAGGATGTGTAAAGAAGAGGGCATCTTTGGGCGCTGAGGTAGTCCAAAAGTGATGGTTGCCGGTTCCATGTCAGCCTGGTGGAGGAAGTGTAGTAGGTCTTAGGAGCCTTAGGTCCCTCCATGCCCCGGCCATGGTGTCATTTGCGCGTTCCCGGTGCGGCGTGGTGCCAGGACAAAACGGAGTCCAAGGCTGGGCAAAATGCAGCTCCGGCCATCACACAGCGGCGGTGTTTGGTGAGACACGAGATGCCTGCAGCAAGACTCAAAACACGTTCAACTTTGGGTATATCCCACTACCATCCATGAATCCATGACCAGGCTTTTGTGGATGATGATGATTATTATTGGTGTTATCATTATTAGTAATGGCCTTTCACAAAACTAGTGACAATGTTTTACCGGCTGTTACTGGTAATGTGGCGCACCCTGCGTTGATACATCCATCATTAAACCAATGATCCCAAAGAACCTTTGGAGAGTAAAGGCCGGTAAGGTAAGGAAGTGGTGTTTTTGGAGAAGGACGCACACCGGGTATCGTGGTGTGTTTCTCTTGTTTTTTTCGCTTATGGAGCAGTTAGGACATCCCAGATGTACCCTTGGATTTATATTGAGAGAAGCAGTGATGCCCTGGAAGAGACCCACATGGAACCTGAAAACCATTGGTTTGTGGAGGAAGCTAGTCTTCCAAAGATCCATGTTCAGGTTCCATGTGAATCTTCCTCTCCACTTGCTCCACTTGTCAGTTCTCCGGTAGAGGGAGAGGCAGGAGATGAGGAGAGAGAGGCAACGTGTGGCGACCCCTGGGGCCTGCTGCCCCTGAATAGTGCACAGTGCGCAGGGCTATTGCCAAGAAACCACGACCAGACACCTTGTCTTCCAAGCGTCGTTGGCGCGCAGGGCAAGGATCAGAAGGCCATGGCTATGGGGTTGGAGGGTTGTGGTCATGGTGCCTTTTGCCAAATGGGCAATGGACCTGGAGAGCCGTGTCAAGTCCTTGAAAGTTTCTAGATTTAGGTTCTATGATACACTGAGACTTCAATCACTGGAAATCGGCAAGGACTTCTGGGAGTTTGTTGGTAGAGATTGATCCTTGGATCACCGTCATTTCAAGTTCTTTGTGCTGATTCACGGGCATTTGCACAGGCTTGGGGTGTGTACCTTTTGCTAGAGTTAATGGTTATTACTGCATACTTTGTTTCTGTATATTGCGGCATTGCTGGCAGCATGCGTATGAGTTTAAACATCGGTCCTTCATGGTGGGTCAGTGACCCAACTTGTGGGCAAAAAGATGTTCTTAAAATAACACAAACACTCCGTGTATGCCATATATGCCGATCGATTGGGGTGGTTTTGGGGGTCAATGGGGGCGGCAGTCCTATGGCAGTCCCATGGGGTGTTTGGGTATCTACTGTAACTTATCCTCTCACCATACCTGTTTGGGAAGGTCAGCCCGTTGCCAACGCCTCGTCGGATGAGCTCGTTGCTTGCTTCGTGTGAAGACACTTCGTGTCCGTGAGACCACACGAGGACTCCCGGCGAGAGAAGAAGGAGAGTAGCAGCCCTCCTCGAAAGGAGCCTGGACTCCGGCGAAAGCCTGGAGAGGTCTTGCGCGTGTTCGTACCGATTCCTGGTGGCCGGTCCAAACCAGGTTGAAGAACCCGAACTAGACTATCCTATAGGTACCCCTGGTGACGGGTCCTACAATAAGGTCACTGTCCACCTCTGTTGGAAGCACGAAAGGAGTCGATCCATGCTCAAACTGATCGTAAGGGGGTAGGCGAGACGGTCGTTTCACCGGTGAGACCGATGCATGTTGAAGTTTGAAGTGGTATAGTGTTGGATCATGTTGGATCTTCCCTCCCCTCCCTGGGAAACAAGTGAAGGAGACAGTAGTGGTCATAGTGGCGGTGGCAGTAGCAGAGTTGCAGGAATCAAGCAAAACCTCAGTAGAGGTTAGGCAGATATCGTAAAGGAAAGCAAATTCCTGACAATAGTTAATCATCCTTTTGGGTTATCCTCTATAGAATCTGAGAGCTTGAGCTGAAAATGACCCTCAGATTTTATAGATATTTTTCTAATGGAATCAATCATTAACCTACCTGAAAAACCACAACATTTTAGACATGGGGTCCAAAAAAGTCCGTTTGTTCTCTCAAAATGGGTGCCAACACTTGATTATATAGAGAGGGCACGCCATGTCACCAGATTTTGCAGAGGTCCTAACAATTAACCCTATAGAAAGCATTTGGAGTAGTAGAAGGTTGAGAATTGATTTTAGAGTGGATGGCGTGTTGTGAGGTCAGGTAGGTTGATATTTCATTTTATATTGCTGAAAGCATTTTGACAGAAGGTTGAGAATTGATTTTAGAGTGGATGGTTTGCTGTGAGATCAGGTCTACAAAATCAAAACCAACCTTTTGGGACACTTTCATCCAAACATTTTTATTAAATCAATTTCAACCTTCACAATATGTCCCCAAACTTCTCCATAAAATCAAAACCAACCTCTTGGGCCACATTTATCAAATGTTTTTTTTTAAAAATCAATTTCAAGCTTATATGTCCCACACTTCCCTATAGAATCAAGACCAACCTTGGCTATGCATCATTGATGTGTCAATGTTTTGCTATCATCTGTTCATGATGATGCACACCCATACCCTGAGGCACTTGATTCTATGGAGAACCGGTTTCCAGCACTGCAGGAGGTTATATTTGATTCTATAGTGGGGCAAACTGCCCTGGGAGCCTGGTTTTTTCGTTTACACCTATAAAATCAATTCTCAAGGTACACCGGTAATTCCACGGGGGATAGTAAACCAATCAAGAAACAGGCCTGTTTTTTTGAATATCATGCCGGCAAAGCGGATCCTCTCAAACAGCTCAAGGTCCAGATTCTGAGGTGTAGTAAGAGTAATAGTACATAGGAATATACATGTTTTTGATAGACAAATTTAGGGTATATATCCCATTGCCAGGTTTCAGTGGATGATGATGGTTAGTACACATGCCCCTCTTAAAAAGTGCTAAATCTTGACCAACTGCTACAGGTCATGGGACAAACCCAAGATATAAGTAGATCATGAGAAATCAAGGGTATATTATCTTCAGGTTTGGTCACACAAGTCACTGGGCCAGCTTCCAGGTTGGGGTAGGCTCGTCATAGCAACGTTCGGTGTGGCGAAATCAGACCGAGACCATCAGGTGGAAGTCTTCTTTTTCCCCGGCCAGAACACCTCAGAGACCCACCACATCCCACCAGTCACCCGGCCCGCAGGAGCGTTACAACTCCGAGGTCCGACGTGACGAAGTCGAGAGCTGGTAGATGGTCACTGTTAATTCTCAATATATATATATATATTATCAAAAATATAAACATGCCGGTAT